TAAGTGATGATGATGATGTGATGATGATGTGATGATCCGAGTAGTAGTCTGCTGTAAAAATGTGCTGTGTGTGAATCAAGTCAAGTCACGTACTTCTTCTCTCTCTCTCTCTTTCTCATTGTCCCATGACACTCACACACACACAGGAGGGAAAGCTGAAGGAATCGATCAACATTGGCCCGCAGGAGCAGACGCTGGAGGAGAAGACGCTCACCGTCGTCTACGGGCCAGACTTTGTCAATGTCAGCTTCATCAACTTCTGCACTGATTCGAGAGACACTGCTCAAGTGAGTAGTCAGACAGACAGTCACTTTCAATTAGCACCAATTGCTCATCCTTTTCCCTTCCCCTTTTTTCCCTTCTCTTTCTCAGCTTTGGACGAATGAAATACTGAAGATGGCGTACAATCTGATGGCCATCAACGCCTCGGTGTACAGGTTCCTGGAGAAGGCGCACACGAGACTGCTGCTGATGACAGATCGAGANCCCCTTTTTTCCCTTCTCTTTCTCAGCTTTGGACGAATGAAATACTGAAGATGGCGTACAATCTGATGGCCATCAACGCCTCGGTGTACAGGTTCCTGGAGAAGGCGCACACGAGACTGCTGCTGATGACAGATCGAGATGGCCGACTGCCCGTTAAAAAGTAAGTGTGTCTGTGTCTTGTGCAGCAGCAGGGTGACCACTGCCTTCTACGAAGTAGAAGAAAGGGAGGAAAGGAGGCAGTCATCAGTTGGGCCATTAAAGTGCTAATCATTCTCTATCTGTATCTCTCCCTCCCTTCCTCCTAATCTAACTTGCAGCGTCGTGAAGATGTTTGCCAGCCACAAAGACGACAAAAAGAGAATTGAAAAGGCCCTTGAAGCCTGTGATCTACCCTCGGGAAAGGCAAGCATAATTTTAGTTTTTTAGCCTTTTTGTGCTTTCTTGCCAGTGCAGCTCTTTTTTACGACTACTGCAACTGACTGTTTTACGACTAACTAATGCTAACGTTTGCAAATGCTATTCTGTTTGTTTGTTTGCCTCTCTGCCTGTCAACTTTGTTTTCCCTTCCCTTTCTTTCCATGTTTCACCACCTCCACCGCAGGCGGACACCATCCACCCGGAGAAGATCAACCTGCAGAAGTTTCTCGACTTCTACAAGCACCTCATCGTCCGCAGCGAGGTGATGGAGATCTTCGAGAAGATGTGCAACAGCTGCTCCAACGCCAGCAAGAAGAAGGTGATGAACGTCGACCAGTTCGTGGACTTCCTCAACAAGGAGCAGCGCGACCCACGGCTGAATGAGATCCTCTACCCGTACGCCAACCGCTCCCGGGCGCACGACCTCATCGAGCAGTACGAGCCGTCGCGCGAGCTCGCCCAGAAGGGCCTCTTCTCCTTTGAGGGCTTTCTCCGGTACCTGATGAGCGCCGACAACGCCATCGTCCCCTCGGACAAGTTTGAGCTGAACAGCGACATGGACCAGCCGCTGAGCCACTACTTCATCAACAGCAGCCACAACACCTACCTCACCGGGCACCAGCTGACGGGCAAGTCGAGCGTCGAGATCTACCGGCAGTGTCTGCTCGCCGGCTGTCGCTGCATCGAACTGGACTGCTGGAACGGCCGCTCCGACGACGAGCCCATCATCACCCACGGCTACACCGTCGTCACCGACGTGCCGCTGAAGGAGGTGCTGGAGGCGATCTGCGAGAGCTCCTTCAAGACCTCCGAGTACCCGGTGATTCTCTCCTTTGAGAACCACTGCAGCAGCAAGCAGCAGGCGAAGATGGCCGCCTACTGTCGGAAGATCTTCGGTGAGATGCTGCTGACGGAGCCGCTGCCCGGCCACCCGCTGAAACCGGGCGTGCCGTTGCCCTCGCCGAATCAGTTTCTGCGAAAGATTATCATCAAAAACAAGAAGAAGCACTACAAGCGCAATCGAAAGACGAAGAACATTCCACCGACGGCTGCCACTGCCACTGCTGTCAACATTTCCGCCCCGCTGATGGCGGGCACGAACACGCCAATGACCTTCGAGGACCAGAGCAGCATCAGCACTGCCAGCACCACCACAGCCAGTGCTCCCCAGCACGTGCCCCTGACCGGGGGCGCCGCAACCGCCACCGCCACCAGCTCAGCCTCAGCCTCGGCCAACGCCTCGCCCTCCACCTACGACACTCGGCCGGAGCTGGTGACGAGCAACAGCGACGACAGCGGTCCCAGCGGCTCCAGTCAGGCGGGACCGTCCGGAGGGCTGCAGCAGCAGCTGCCCGACTCAACCGATGATCTCCTCCTGCTCTCCTCCTCCCCCAACACCGTGGACAGCAGCAGCAACACCACCCCGGTCAGTGACCACCACCACCACCACCATCACCACAGCCAGCCCCAGCCTCAACCTGCCAACATAGGCAGCAACAGCAGCAGCACCACTCCACACGCCACCACTTCGAACATTATTAAAAACTCCAGCTGTGATATCGACGACGCCGACTCTGACTCGAGTCTGGAGGACGAGGACGTCATTGAGGAGCACTCCATTGCCGATCTCAGCGCCCCTGCTGCCACCGCCGTCGCAGCGGCCAGCGGCGGCGGCTCCAAAGAGCCGGAGGCCGGCTCGGAGATGTCCGAGCTGGTCATCTACGTGCAGCCCATTCGATTTCACGCATTCGAGCTTGCGGAAAGTAAGTGCTGGCCAATGTCTGTGTGTGAGTGAAAGAGCACTGATAACCGATATCTTCTTGCCAACACGCACACACACTCGCAGAGCGAGATCGCAGCTTCGAGGTGTCGTCCTTTGATGAGACGCAAAGCACCAGCCTGCTGAAGGAGCGACCGATTGATTTCGTAAAGTGAGTACTACTACTACTACCACTGCTATTTTCAGTTCCGTTGCTGCTGGCATTCCTCCTGCTGGCAATTTGTGTGCACCTCCCTCGGGACCGCTAATCTGCATCATCTTTCTTGCTTACGCTCGCCCTTTCCCTTCCCTTTTCCCTTCCCTTCTCTCCCACCTCACAACACAGCTACAACAAGCGGCAAATGAGCCGAATCTATCCGAAGGGAACACGCGTCAATTCGAGCAATTACATGCCGCAAATTTTCTGGAATGCAGGCTGTCAAATGGTGGCGCTCAACTTTCAGACACTGGGTAGGTGGTCGTAGTGGTGGTGGTAATGGCGGTGGCGGTGGTGACGCCTTTTAATGTTTGCAGTTCTGCTGTGCTGTACGGCGGCGGCAATCGTACAGCCGGAATGTCGATTACCATTAATGCTATGATTTATCTCACTCACTCACTCTCTTTGGGGGCAGATCTGGGAATGCAGCTCAATCTGGGCATCTTCGAGTACAATGGGCGCAACGGTTATCTGCTGAAGCCTGACTTTATGCGCCGACAGGACCGCCGCTTCGACCCCTTCACCGAGTCCACCGTCGATGGTATCATCGCCGGCACGGTCTCCATTAAGGTACGTGTACTACTACTACTACCATATACGACCGTTTATTTATTACCAAGAGAAAAGGAGAAAGTCAGGCGCGCGCTGACAGGCGATGACAGGCACAATTTCGTTAATACTACTTTTCGAATACTAATAGTAATTCTCTATTGCCCTGCCCTGCCCTCCTTCTTCCTAATCTCTCTCCGGAATAGATCATCTCCGGGCAGTTCCTCTGCGACAAGCGCGTGGGCACCTACGTCGAGGTGGACATGTACGGCCTGCCGGCGGACACCGTCCGTCGGAAGCGCACCCGAATCGTGCCCGCCAACGGCCTCAACCCCATCTACGACGAGGAACCCTTTGTCTTCAAGAAGGTCGTCCTGCCCGACCTCGCCTGCCTCCGGATCGCCGTCTTTGAGGAGAACGGCAAGTTCATCGGCACGCGCATCCTCCCCGTGGTCGGCCTCCGGCCCGGCTACCGGCACATCTCCCTGCGCAACGAGTCGCTGCAGCCGCTGACGCTGGCCACGCTCTTCGTGCACATCACCGTGAAGGACTACGTGCCGGACGGGCTGTCAGAGCTGGCCGACGCCCTCGCCAATCCCATCGCCTACCAGTCGATGGTAGAGAAGCACGCCAAGCAGCTGCTCGCGCTCACGGACGAAGCGGACGAGGCCGCTCTCAATGCGGCACAGGACGGCGGCGGAGGCGGCGAAAGAGGCGAAAGAGGAGGGGCGGGAGGAGGTGGTGGTGGTCATCATCCAAATTCGGCCACCTCCAAAGTCTCCAGCGGAAGTGGCGGACAGCCGACGACGGCGGCGGAAGCCTACCAGCAGCAGAATCAGCAGTTCAGTCGATCATCACACGACCAGGACGACTCGCTGCGGCAGTACATTCGAGATGTGCACTCGCTCAATGAGGGCGGCAGCGGTAATGCCTATGGCAGTGCTGCTGGTAGTGCTGGTGGCCATCATCCACACCTCACCAAGTCGGAGACGGCCAGGTCGGAGGCGCTGAATGGCGGCGCCAGCGGCGGCTCAAAGGTCGGCTCACCCAATCACAAGAGCTTCAGTGGCGGCGGTGGTACTGGAAGCGGCGGAGGTGGCATGCGTCGCCAGGACACCCTCAACCGGAAGGTGACCACCTCGATGAAGGTCTTTGACGACTACGTTCTCGATAAGATACCGTCGCTGCTGGAGTCGAGCGAGGCGATCCTCAGCGCCGAGCCGCTGGAGAAGCTGCGCCAGGCGAAGGCCGTGCAGAAGATTCTGGCGAAGCTGGAGCGGGACGTGGCCGGGCTGGCGAAGAAGTACGACAAGAGTCGGGAGAAGTGTCGGGAGAGCTACCTGGCGGAGGAGGAGAAGGCGATGCAGGCGCTGGAGAAGCAGAAGAAGCTGGCCAGTGGAGGCTCCTCGAAGAGCATCAAAAAGAATGCCGATGGGTAAGTTCTATTGGGTTGAAGTTTGTGGTTTGCTTGTTTGCCTGTTTGTTTGCTTTCCGGTGTCGGTGTTGAGGGCCGGTTTGATTTTTGGCCGCTGTCTTTTGTTTGCAGGGCTTTTGTGGTCAGCTTTTGTACTATTCACACTCTTCTTCTTTTTCCTCTTCTGCTTTATTCAGATCCAAGCGGACGAGCGTTGTTGACATTCAGGTCTTTGAGGATGAGTACAACAGCAAGGTGAGCAGCAGACGCGGAGATTTCAAAGCGGACTTTTTTTGTGCTACAGCTGTTGCCAGCGGCAACACTGCTAGAGAGAAACAAGAGATTGTGTCAATATTGACCGTTGTCCGATCGCTTTCCCTTCCTTCTCCCTCCCTTCTCACTTTCTTCCTTTTGTTTACCTCCGTATGTGTCTAGGTGCGCGACCTGCAAAAGTCCTACTCCGACGCAGTGCTCAACCTCCTCATTGAGCAGCACAAGGAGGAGTTCAAGCTGTTTGAGTTCAAGTACCACGAACAGGTACGAGTCATCAGTCTGCTATATATCACCACTTTACCCCTTTTCAATTTGATCTTCCCTTTTTTCTTCCCGCAGCTCTCGGNGCAAAAGTCCTACTCCGACGCGGTGCTCAACCTCCTCATTGAGCAGCACAAGGAGGAGTTCAAGCTGTTTGAGTTCAAGTACCACGAACAGGTACGAGTCAGCAATCTGCTATATATCACCACTTTACCCCTTTTCAATTTGATCTTCCCTTTTTTCTTCTGCAGCTCTCTTCGGCCTTTGACAAGGTGACGGAGGAGTCGCAGAGCGCTCAGATTGCCACGCTGAAGACGCTGCACGACAAGGAGGTGGCCGTGCTGANCGGCCTTTGACAAGGTGACGGAGGAGTCGCAGAGCGCTCAGATTGCCACGCTGAAGACGCTGCACGACAAGGAGGTGGCCGTGCTGATGAAGCGCCTGGAGAACCAGAACAAGGAGGAGCTGGTGGCCGTCTCGAAGAAGTTCAAGGACAAGAACGAGCTGGCGCGCATCAAGCGCGAGCTGCAGCAGCGGCTGATTGACCAGGCGGTCAACGAGCGGCAGCGCTTCAAGACGCTCCACGCCAAGCTGGAGACCGACCTGCGGCTGAAGCACGAGGAGGTGAAGCGGTCGGTGGAGGAGGAGAAGCGGACGATGGTCAGTCAGCGGCGGAAGGCATTCGAGGAGAAGGTCGAGCAGATGCGCCAGACGTACCGCATGGACATCGGTCTCTTCCTTCAGACGTACCTCCCGGCAAAGTCGGCGTAGTCTGACTGCTGCTACTCACTGATTAGAGACTGTACAGGCAAAATAGAATGTGATTGTGTCTTTGTGTATTGTGTATGTTTGCACAATCACCACCGCCAACCAACTCGAACCCACCACCGTACTGCTGCGGGCTACTTCAGTGGGCTTCAGCCCACGCAAAAACACCGATCAGCACCCTCCTCAACACACTCAACTCTTCTCTCTTTCCATTCGGACCACTTTTCCCTTTATCAAGTGCAATTCACACTGCTCTCAAACTCTGCTTTAATGATTCCGGTGATTGGCTACATTGTTTTTCTCTCTCCCTTTCTCTCTTTTCCTTTCCAAAGTTACCACCAAGTTACTTTCCCTTCTTTCCCTCTTTTTTTGGTTCCTCTTCTTCTACTTCTGTTGTTGCTGTTGTTGTTCTTTTGCTTCTTCTACTGTCGCCCATTGTTATTACTGCATTCTTTACTACTATTGTTTTTGTTCACCTGTTTCAC